ATAAAGGAACTACAGCACGGTCACATGACTTCACATCACCACCGCTAAGCTAAAGGAGGCTTCACNCCTCCTTTAGCTTAGCGGTGGTGATGTGAAGTCATGTGACCGTGCTGTAGTTCCTTTATAGCCCTACATTAGCCACCTTTAGCTTAGCGGTGGTGACGTGAAGTCATGTGACCGTGCTGTAGTTCCTTTATAGCCCTACATTAGCCACCTTTAGCTTAGCGGTGGTGACGTGAAGTCATGTGACCGTGCTGTAGTTCCTTTATAGCCCTACATTAGCCACCTTTAGCTTAGCGGTGGTGACGTGAAGTCATGTGACCGTGCTGTAGTTCCTTTATGTGAAGTCATGTGACCGTGCTGTAGTTCCTTTATAGCCCTACATTAGCCACCTTTAGCTTAGCGGTGGTGACGTGAAGTCATGTGACCGTGCTGTAGTTCCTTTATAGCCCTACATTAGCCACCTTTAGCTTAGCGGTGGTGACGTGAAGTCATGTGACCGTGCTGTAGTTCCTTTATTTTCCTTTATCCTTCCCGTTTCCTTTCAACATTAGCCGTCTTGCACTAATGTACATTTATCAAAGATATGAAAGATATTGAAAGTGAAATACCGTTTCCCAAAATACAAATATATGTAAAAATATGTATTTTATATAAAATACATATTTTTATATATGTTCATATTTTGGGAAAGGTATTTCGATCTCTCCGTCTGTACACACAAACTGAAAGATTGACAGTAGAGTTGACTTTGGACGTCTCTGCCACTTGCTGTTGAGCAAAAGAGCTGTCCTCTGTTCAGATCTATAGATCTATATAGATAGAAGTCTGACCTTGTTGGCGAACAGCGGCCGGATGCTGTTGAAGAGATCCAGCTGCTGCTGCAGGTTGTGTCCGCACTGCTCAGAGACGTCCATCACGTAAAGGACGGCGGCTCTAAGGTGAGCAAGAGCTGTGATGGCCTGCATCTCGATGGTGTTCCTGTTCTCCAGAGGGTGGTCCAGGATCCCAGGGGTGTCCACCACCTAAGGCAAGGCACGTTTATTTATATAGCACCTTTCAACACAAGGCGATTCAAAGTGCTTTACGATGAAAGACTTTAAGGGACATATTATAAAATGGCATTTAAAAAACACTTTTTGAATACTAGTTACAGAGCAGTGTGAGATGTGAAAAGTTCAATTAAAAGCAGCGGCAAGAAAAGTCTTCAGCCTGGATTTAAAAGTAGTCAGAGTTGCTGATTATTTGTCGATTCAGTTTCATGCAGAAAATGTATTTTTGAGACGCTAAAATGAAAAGTCCTACTTTACATTTTTCAATCTGACATTGAGCTAGATATCTAGACAACTAAAGACATGCGCTTGGTCTTCGTCAAACTGGGATGGACTCACATTTTATAGACCTAATCAGCTAATTGATCAAATGGTGTAATTGTTAGCCCCATGAGTTAGAGCGCGTCCAAAGCAAAGTCACGAGGAAGTAAAGGATAGAGTAAATAACAGTTGAGGTGAAACAGTAAGAGCTGCAGGGCGTTACCTGCCAGCGGAGGTATCTGTAGTCCATGTGCCCCACAAACAGAGACTTGGTGGTGAAGGCGTACGGCTGCACATCCACATCTGCTCTGGTCACCTGACGGGAGACAACATTTACACCGTGTTAACTTCACTTAGAGATGGAGCGTCCAGGAGCTGGAACCAATGGAGAGCATGGATTTAACAGACTCATGGACATGTTGACAAAAACATGAGTTGTTTACCTTGTTGATGAAGCTGGATTTTCCCACGTTGGGGTATCCGCACAGAAGCAGCGTCCTCGTGTTCGGGTCGATGCTCGGCAGACGGGACAGATGCTGGCGCACTGGAGAGGAGGGGAGATGTGTGATTATGACATGTTAAAAGACAGCTCAAAGTATTACAAACAGAATCATGAAAAGCACTAAAATCTGTTATTTTATTAAAATGTACCTGAATTTTTTACTTGTGCAAAATGCCTGTTAACATGCGCTATGACAAGAGGGATGATTTAAGTACTCTAATCTAATCTCAGAATAATTATTAGTTGTATTTTATGCATTAAATCTCATTAAAAATCCACTTGTTTCTAGTCTCCTCTGCAAGACTTCCAGAAAGTATTATTAAGTATATTATGAAGCTTCAAGTTTATAAATACGCCACAAAAACAGGTGAAATTAAAGCAGAATTCGAATCTACCAAATAAACTTCAAAATGATATTGCATTGTCTCTAAACCGCCCCAGTGACAGTGTTTCAGAAACATGACATGAGTCCTCTGTTACCTTGCTCCAGATACTCCAGACTGGACTTCTGTCTCTTCACGATGGTGCACATGCGACCCAGCGCCGCTCTCTTCAGCTGTTTACACCGGTACAGAGAGTCTCCGTACTTCATCAGACGCACGTAGTCTTTGGCAACACTGGGGGGGTTAAACACAAACAAACAGTTAGAATCAGAAACTGGTTTATTACCAGGTAGGTTGACACGTACGAGGAATTTGACTTGGTGTCGTGGTGCATACAGAAAAGTAAACAAAAGTGTCCAAACTAAACAAACTATATTCTGCCAGATCTCCATTAAGGATAACTAAAGGGAAACATCTGGATTGGCATCATGTGATGTTAGGCCACCTTTACGATCCCTGGTCCCTCAATCAGACCAACTTGTAAAACCTCAGTTGCTTAGGGTCTTGTTTGAAGCAGCAGGGCGGGAAATGTACTGTTTTTGGCAGCGGACCATGTAAACAAGGACATTAACTATATGCAACAACATGCAAAACTAAAAAGGATAACATTTAAGACAAACTTACTTATCAATCAAGTTCTTGGCGATGTTTATCTGTCCCAAAGCCAACTTGTAATGGTCTTTGTCGTACAGCACGTTCATCAGGTCGGCGTAGAACGGATGGATGTCCTGAAGAGAAAATGGCAAATGATCACATTTCACAAACTACCTTTTATACGTGTCCAGACACAATAGGAAAGATGGTTATTTAGAATGAATGCGAGAGCTTCTTGACTTACGTCGAGCTTGGGGAAGTCGGTGAGGATCTGCGAGAGGCGGTCATGGTAGCTCTGCTGCGTGAACTTCACCTTTCGCATGTAAAAGTGACGGATGCGGTGGATCTGGTAGTGCTTGTGCACCACAGTGGGGGTCTTCCTTTGAGTTTTGGATAAAGTGATGTCGATGAAATCCTGCAGAGAGAAACACAGTATGCAAGGTTAGAAATGATTGGACATAACTTTTTATTATTGTCTTTATCTGAAGCCAGATTAACAAGCCATTCATTCATGTTATGCCCAAGATGAGTATCATTAGAAGGTTGTGTAACTTTTTTTTGGTTTAAGGTCTTCACTGCCTTACTCCTTTTGTCAATTAAATGAACCTTTATTGACCCGCTAATGGAATCACTCATCCAAATCATACCCTGTGATCTCTAAATCAAGTAATCAATTATTTACACACCACATATAGATACAGAACAGCTGCTTAACATGTATCCACAAGAACACGTTATTTTTCTTGTATTTCCTCAGAGAATCATCATGTTAACTGTTTTCCAAGAGACCAATAACCACCTTTTCCCTTGGGTAAATTAAAATGAACCTTTATTGACCCCCTTATGGAATCATAAATCATACCTTGTGATCTCTTAATCAAGTAATCAATTATTTACACACCACATATAGATACTGAAGCATGCACAACTACAGCTGCTTAACATGTATTCACAAAAACACGCGATTTTCTTGTATTATCTCTTAATCGGGGAATCAATTATTTGTATAGCATATATATCAATACTGAAGCATGCACAACAACAACAACAACAACTACTTAACATATATTCATTAAAAACATGCAATTATTTTGCATTTCCACAAAGAAAAATCATATTAACTGTTTTCCAAGAGAGCAATGCCGAACTTCATTAACAAATCATTCAATTTAATGTAAAATTAATTGTCAGCCAAATCAGAAACGTCACAACAATATTTTAAATCACTGATATGAATAAACCAAGTCTACTTGTCAATTCGGCATACAAGTAATAAATCAAAAGGCATTTATTTTGTTGTCAGCCTAACTTATAGGACCACAACTCCCAATATGGACAGGGTATTTAAATGGAAGTGAACAGCTTGATTTATGCTGCTTTTTGCACTTCTCTGTATTTATAAATCTGTCAGAACTATATGGCCTACTCAGATTTATTCTTAGTATTTCAAAATAACAAACAGTCCATAATATATTCCTTTTTACTCTGTATTGTGTCGGTATTATACTGTCTTATTTATACAATTGTAATAGTGTATTCATTTTCTACACCGCTGTTTGTAATGATTATTCTGTTCTTAATGTAAATACTGTCACGTGTATATATAAAAACACACTTCTGGTTGGATGCTAACCACATTGCGTTGTCCTAGTACTTGTACTCTGTGCAATGACAACAAAGTTTATATGATAAAGTTTCCCTTTTTATAGGAAAAAACTGTCCAATATCCAGAATTAACTCCATTATTAAATGGAGTTTGGTGAATCGCATGTCATTAACAGGACAGAAACAGCCTTTTATGTTCTTAATTATGTCCAGATTCACTGTGTTATCCCTCAAAACCCTTTCCTCTTTTGAACACCAATTTAAAAAACACATAATTAACGTTGTATGGAAACTGTCTCTTTCCAGCAGCTCGACACGTGTTTATCCTCCGAAGAGAACCTCCATGTTTTTTACATCTTCCTCTGCTTCTCAACACTCAGAAACACAGCCGGAGAAAAAGCTTTCTTTTAACAGGCTAAACATGAGGAATAAAACGTACCTTTGCGGTGGGAACCACCATAATCTTCTTGAAATTATAAAGCGACATTTTGTCGGACACGTTGGGGTCCGCTGACGCTAGGGGAAAGGACCGTTCCGTTAAAACCGGAAAAGACGCTGAAAAACACGATGGTGAGTTTTTCCGAACATCGCCCTCTAACGGCCAACTGCAGGTACTACATGAACAAAAACGTCACATTACTGTTAGAAATTATTTAGAAATATAATTCATAAACAAATGAAATACATAATAATAATAATAAATACAAATTAAAATAAATAATTACATCAATTCATTAATTAATGCCTGCACAATATCGTACAGATCTGTCATATTAAAATAGATAAACATGATTTGTATCTGTTTCTTCAGATGTTATGAATGTTACATTGTTTTCTATTTATATTCATTGTCTTTATAACTACATTTTATTCAAAAATACAGTTCATTTGTTCCCCAGCTCATACAACCAAACATGATGATGAATACATGTAGTTTGTGCTGTGGTTTAACTGCATTGCATTATAAAGACAGGGTTTTTATGTATTTAATTAACATCATTGAAACAAATAGTGCATAGAAAATAATAAAAACACGTCAACAGAAAGAAAGAAAACTCTCTAAAACAGTTTAAATAAAATGTTCTTGTATTTCCACAAAGAAAATTATCATGTTAACTGTTTTCTAAGAGAGCAATGCCAAAACTTAATTAACAAATCTATCAATTTCATAAAGCCATTTATTACCATTTTATTATTGAAAAGCATATAACTTTCGTCGCCTGTGTAACTTGTATTTTTAGGTGTTTAGTCTTGACAAGCTTGTTTTGCATTGGGTAAATAATATCTTATGATCTCTTAATCGAACAAAACATTATATAATTGTTAGTTATTTCAGGACTTGTTTTAGACTGCACCAGATAAAGGGAATCACAATATAGGAAATGTGGTCTTTACATTATTGGTATCTGCAGAGGGAATTGGTCATTTGGAGATTTGATCCAGCCCATTTTGGAAATATGATCTGAAAGTGTTGGGAACATCTATCCTAGTCCATTTGTTGAGGACTATTTTAAGCGATGGACTAATCTACATTTTGTGCTCCAGTGAGTAATTGGGGCGGTGTGACTCATTAACGTGTTATTAATAGTTTTTGGACAACAACAGAGCTCAGACGACTAACATGTATGAGTTAAAACTCGTTATAACAAGTATCAGTTATTCATTTGTGGTTTTAAGTCATTTTATGTCGTTTGTTGACAGTCTGAAAAAGTAAGTAGTAAAATGTCACCCGGAACTATCTGCAGTCCATATTTGTTGTGATCCGCGGAGATGAAGAAAGCAGCCAATCAGCGAGCTCCTGTGTCTTTAGGCCACGCCCACTACCAGCGGTCACGAGTGGCTCCGCGTGCGCCCATTGCCAGTCTCGACCAATAAGGACGCTCCGCTGTGAGAAAGGGGCGGGGCTTCTACACTGTGTGACAGCTTCAGGGTCAGTGCTGCACCAGAGAAGAGGAAAAACGAAGAGGTCTCACTCTGATGAATTCATCTTTGACGTACACAAATCTGTCAATTGTTTACAGGTTGTAAAGAGTACTTTAGAAATAAGGTAATTTTTTACAATGGTGTACAAACAATATGACAAAAAATAAAGGTTTTTTTGCATCATGGCTTTAGCTCCACTACATGTATTTAATCCCTTTAGTGACTTTACAGATGTGGATGAATGATGTGAAATATAATCAAGTGTTAAATCAGACTTTAGTTCCACCTGGAGTAAATCCACAAGCTACCCAGCAGTTTACAAAGTCATTCAAACTAGCTGCACCTTTACCAGCTTTGAGAACACTTTCATGATCAATCAATATAAAACACATCATATATATTATTCTGAAATGGACCAATCTGCACAATGACTACTTTTACTGTCGTTACTTTAACTATATTTTGATGATAATACTTTTCTACTTTTACTTGAGTAACATTTTGAATGCAGGACTTTTACTGTAACAGAGTATTCCTACACTCTGGTACTATTACTTTTACTCAAGTACAAGATCTGAGTACTTATACTTTTACTCAAGTACTAGGCTATATCTGAGACCTTCTACTTTTACTCAAGTACTATATCTGAGTCCTTCTACTTTTACTAGAGTACAAGATCTGAGTGCTTCTACTTTTACTAGAGTACAAGATCTGAGTCCTTCTACTTTTACTAGAGTACAAGATCTGAGTGCTTCTACTTTTACTCAAGCACAAAATCTGAGTACTGGTCCTTTTAATCAAGCACAAGATTGTGAGTACTTCTCCCACCTCTGCATGTAACTAGATTTGTCAGGATGTAAGCAAAGGGCAACAGGAACAATAGGACGGTTTTGTGTGTCTTATATTTTCTTATATATTTGTATAAACATGTCTCTTACTTTGGGTGTCCTCACTGCCCATCACTGTTTGCCCCTCAGCCTGTACCTTGTAAACCAGTTCTGACTGTAATCCATCTATGGGTCCATTAGTTAGTGTTCTGTTTAGAAAAAACAGTCAGAAAACAATATTAAAAGTAGCTAAGTAATCAATAAATGCCGAAGAGGACTAGGGCCACATGAGAGAGGTGACCAAAAGTAAAAATAACACAATTCAGACTTTAATGTCAGAATGAATTCTTGGAGAAAAAGAAAAAAATGTTTTCAGAATTCAGATTTTTCTTCAGAACTCAATATTCAAAGTTGCTAAATGGTCAATAAATGCAGAAGAGGACTAGGGCCACATGAGTCCCTTATGCTACCTTAAAAACATAAGGTTAATTTAAAACTAGCTATTTATTTACAGAAGAAGATTAGATTAACATGAAAAGTTCTGACTTCTAAGATAAATTTTTTTTCAGAACTCAGTTTTTTCCAGAACTTCAATTTTTCCTTTTCCTTTTAGTCAAATGCAAAAAAAAATCTCATGTTGTCCTAACACTAATCCATGAATACATAGCTAGATTTAAACCCAATTTTTGTTATTAATGCATCATAAGTGGCCTGGAAGATGAACCCAATGACTGGCCTCTTTTTGAGAACTCAAACTATAACAACAGCAGAGACGATCTTTGTTCTGCACACGAAAGGGAAAGGAAACGGCTCCATTATTCCGCCCCCCCCTCTCTCTACGGACTGTCTGATCGATCGGAAGCTTTGAGACGAGCATCGCTTTATTCCTCGCTTTCGGGATATTTCTTCACAGTTTCTTTTGACTTCCCCTATTACCCAAAACGTCCTGCTGTTTAAATCGTGTGGAATTTAATCCCCGGCTTCACATTTATTATCTGCACAAAAGTTGATAAGGAAAGCTAGTTAGCCTCCTAGCTAACTCTTAGCTAGCCTCAAAGCTAACTAGCGGTGGTCGGAGAACGTTTTTGCAGACAGTTTTTTAAGGAGGGGGCATCTTTTTTTTGTCAATGCACTTGTACCTAGTCGTGGAGTTATCATCCTGACTTTTGAAGAGTATTTGTGGGGAGGTTTAGAGCTGGTAAGCCGGTTGCTTCCTAGCTAGCGTGCTCGATATAGCCTGCTAGCTTTAATACCCTGCGTATTTAGCCTGGAAGCTAACTGAAGGCCGCAGTCCACCATCAGCTGCTACTACTTCCATCAGAGTGTTTGCATTGCCGTGCAGAGTTGACAGGTGAGTCAAATAAACTGTTTAAAAACAAAATGTGGGATATGACTTTAATGAAGTCTGAGGAAAAAAAATCAGAATTTTGTAGATTTTCACACAAAAAAACGTCAAAGAAAAATAAATAAATGTTTTCAGAATTCTGACTTTTCTTCAGAACTCATTTTTTGTTGAATTATTTTTGGTCAAAATATTCAATTTACAAGGAATTCTGATTCTGTACAACAGCATACATGATATTGGCCAATTCTCAGATTAGAATATGATTATCAACAATGAAAAATTCTCAGAGAAATTGGGACTTAAAAAAAACCTACACTTTTTGAAAACACCTTGTCACATCCAAAACATTTTTTATTTATAATGTGGCCCTTCATCCGCTTCCGTAAATAAATAGGTAGTTTTAAATGAACCTTTTGTTTTTAAGGCATCACAAGTGGCACTGCAAGGGCACCTGATGACTGGCCTCTTTTTGTTAGTGCTCCATTAACAATTCTAGTGTCCATTAATCACTTTAATGTAAATGTCAAAGTTGTAATTAGTGGTACCAACTGTTAAAAACAATGCTTTTGGGTTTCTTAGAAGTGTAGTAGATTAGTCTGTTCGATCAGATCGGACCAATACATTCTGATTGATGGAGAGGTGTTTTAAACCGGGCAACAAAGTGAAAAAGTCCTAAAAACAAGGGGATAAAAACTCTTAGCACATGCAGCATAACAACACAATATGACAGTTTAACAGTTTAGGGGAACCAGGAGGTAAAAGGCATGATAATACAACATAAAAAACTATACAATAGATAATAATTTAGTTTCTGATAACTCTATTTTCTCATACACCAGGTGCAGCTGAACGTACTTTAACAACAACATCACAATTTAAAAGAGAACCAGAATTTCACATCGGGCCACACGTTAAACCTTTTAGCAGAATAACATGATATAACAGCTTAGGGCACACAGGAGGTAAAAGGTATGATAATAAAATAGAAAAACCTATAAAATAAATGAACCCGTAACCCTAGTTTATTCCATTGGATTACCTTTCAATTAAGTCTCTAACAAATCATTTGAACCTGGGCCACAATCATAAAAAGCCCTAAAAAACAACTCGTATTCTAATAATGGGATGTGTACATATAAGCTTTGTACCGAAAACATGTGGATATGTAACCCATTTGTACTTTTTTCTCAATAGCTGTACTTTACTGATAACATTTACAACGTCATTTTATTACATTACTGCCACATGAAACTATATTTGCCAGGGTTTAAGCATAGGGCCACAGGATTTTGACAGAAATGTGGTAAAAGAAACAGTTTTTAAGACTTATTGTCGTGTCATAGTTGTAAATAGTGGCACAAACAAACTGCGAGGCCCTGTTGAAACACTGCTTTTACCTTTGTTCTGTTTGTGCATCGATACATTACATTACATGTTACTTGTTAGAGGCTT